CTTCTCCATCGCTGCTGTTCTTTGGTGCCAGTTGCGGCAGTTGAGATGGAGTTGTGTGACTCTTTGACAGAAAAGGGGGTTCTAGAACTTGGAGAGAGGCCGGAGGAGGTTGGCAGGGCGGTGGAGAATGAACAGGGCGATCATGTCAAAAAGTCCGGGGAAGCCTTTGAGATTATATCCAACTCCGGCTCATCGTTTCCGGCCGTCAGGTTACTGGACTTGCCGACTCGTGATGGTTGCTTGCATGGGTGCAAGTCGGCATGCAAGTTGGTTACCAACTGAGGTCATCCTGACCGTCGTTTCTTGCTCAATTACGGCTAGCAAAAACACACACAAAGTGCGACACTCCGCGGACTCTTCAAGCGAAGCTAGGCCGGTCCTAGTCAGGTCTGGCCAAGGGTTCGCTCAGCTCCAAAGTCAGTCGACGCGAGTCCGCGTTTGGCCGAGGTGCAAATTCCGAGAGTGTGGAACGATTCCAGCGTGTGGTGCCCCGCAAATTTCCCCGCGATCCAGTTTCGGATTAGCGTCTTTAGGCACCTTTTCTAGGCCTTGAAGAAGCATGTCTTTTCTCGAGCGATATTCCGCGACGTTTTCCCCATGTTTTTCTTCAGCTTCCACATCACTCACCCATCCCGTGTCAGTTGCAGCAAACAACGAAACCAGCTGCGTTCCCCACAGAGTCGAACCATTGCAATCCGTCTGTTTTCCCCAGTTTATCTCTTACCTGATGGCTGACCCATCTCCCCCGGAAAACCACGTGTCGTCGGCGCCTGCAGAGTCGGTTCCAGACCGGAGCCAGCCGGAATCATCAACAAAGGCCAACACCCGCCCGTCGGCTAGGGGAACGGCATTCTATCAACGGAAGAGAGCTGTAAGAGCATGCCAGGTGTGCAGAGCTCGAAGGACGAAATGCGATAATCTGAAGCCGTCGTGCTCGTTCTGCCTCAAGGTCGGGGCGACCTGCATACAGTCGCCCGTCGACTTGTCCAGCTTCGATCCAGCAAGTCTCAAGATTTTGGAACGACTGGATGACCTTGAGGAGTTGATGAGATCCGTCTCGGTTGAGGGGTCTTCAAATAAGACGAGGGTACTTGAGGCCCCGGCCGAGCCACGTCTCGAAATCCCGCCGCCGGAGGGGCCTCCAATTCAGCTTGGCATGATTATTCCCCCTGGCCCTGAAGAGGTTATGTCGTGGCACATATTTCAGACGATGACGAGAGAGGCCGCAGAAAACGACGGTGTGCTACACGTCGATCACCCCACCGCCGCTGCGAGCTCGCCGGCTTCAGTGCTAGGTGCACTCGACATGGAGCCAAGAAGGGTCAACGATCTGCTTGACAGCTTCTTCAGCTATGCCCATGTCAAGAATCCCATCCTGGACGAGACCGCAACGAGGAAGATGGTTTCGACGACAATCATGAACGGCATCGACTGGTCTGCCGAGTCCTGCTTGTCTCTCCTGATTTTCGCATTAGGGTCCATTGCGACACCCTTCGGCCCGAGTCACGAGACCATGCCCGGAACCCTGGCCCATGGCAACGCTCAATCGTTCTTCCAGGCGGCTCAGAAGAGACTCGGGATTCTACTGTCGTCGGACGACATCATTGCGGCTCAGTGTCTCTTCCTGTCAGGGGTTTACATGATGTGCATCTTCCAGCCCGTCAAGGCATGGCGGTACTTTGTGCAGGCGCTCGCAAGCTGCCAACAACTCCCGTTCCTTACCCCTGAATCTCAGCAACGCTACCACAACTACGTCGAGTCGGGCAACGAGCTACACAATTACTCCATTGACACTCTCCAGCAAGCCATCTACTGGTCCTCATGGAAGTCCGAGCGGGAGATGAGAGGAGACCTCTACTTACCCGACTTCTCCCTCAGCGACAAGGAGCTGGCGTTCTACCCTCCCTTCTTCCCAACGCCACCGGCCCCAAGGGCAGAGGTCGAGGCTGCTAGTGACCCACGTCTGGCGCGTGAGAGGACGTCGTGGTACTTTTACCTCTCCGAGATATCTCTCCGCAGACTCGCGTCTCGGATTAGCGCCGAGATGGTGGGTCTCCAGAAAGAGCATCCCACGCGCCAAGCATATCTCGCAGCCCTGACCGAGGCAGTCCCGCAGTATGAGGAACAGGCACGAGGCTGGATCGCGTCACTTACACCCGGCCTGTCGTTCAATGAACCTCCAGAACAGGACGACGTGTGCAGATTCGTGCTCAGAGGACACGCCATAAATCTGTTTGAGAACATTTACTGGCCGTTCATCACTGCGTATCTCGACAGCCTGGGCGCGAATCCGAGCTGTATAAGCGGGCCCCTGCCAGATAGTTGCATTGCTTTTGCGCAAAAAGGTCTTGAAATTCATCTTGAACGCCTGAGAGTGAACCAACCGGGATACTATCACCGCCACCATGGAACACTACCTCTCATGAGGTCTTGTTCACGAAGTGCGTTAGTCCTGACGGCGGCCGCTATGTTTATCGAGACAAGGGGTGGCAATGGCTCAGAGGGAATCTGTCAGATGCCTCCTGGTTGGGAAACTGGCGTCGATGGGACCGTTGACCTACTCGCATTCTGGCAAGGTGAGGTTCCACAGATGTCAAAGATACGGACGCTATTGAGGGAAGCACGCGCGCTTGCATCCGGGACGTCCCCATCGGCATATCATCTAGGATCATAGACAATGGTCCAGATTCACGGGTAAAAGCCTTGAATCACCCCACATAGCAATTCAGCCTAAATACATCCTCGATCGACGCTCGGCATACGAAGCTTTGAAACGGAGCCGATGTGACCTCTCTAAAGCAACCCGACTGCTGGGTCGAGCATCGGGAGTGAGCTCACTCGGAACAACTAGCTCCCCCGCCAACTCCCCGCTGCAATCCCTGCTCTTTGTCACGCGCGGGTGTCTGTACCCCAGATCCGGGTTCATCCAGTCTGGCGTCCCGAATAACTGGGGAACGCGTTCCGGACACGACCCACTTCCACCCTCCATCGCGGAGTGTCGCACTTAAGAATCCGAGACTCCTCACCACCTGATGCGCGATGACAAAAGAGTCCAACGACGCCCTACGGCCCAATAATCGGGACCGTTTCCCGGGCCGTTGGGCTAGGTGCTATGACCCGGGTATAAAGGACTCCCCTCGAGAAGATCAAGAGGCTCTGCAGGCCAAACCAAACCTCAGACCACATCCGCAATCATGTCACCTACCACACCCAACCCCCCCTGCACGATGCTCCGCGTCAGCGGCACCAAGATCGTCAACGAGAATGGTGAAGAAGTCATTCTCAAGGGCGCTGCCACGGGCGGCATGCACAACATGGAGAACTTCATCACAGGCTACACCGGTCACGAGCACGAGCACCGCGAAGCCCTAACAGAGGTCCTCGGCAAGGAGAAGGCCGACTTCTTCTTCTCCCGTCTCCTTCACTACTACTTCACAGAGGCAGATGCCGCCCTCTTCGCATCATTAGGCCTCAACTGCCTGCGCGTGCCCTTCAACTACCGCCACTTCATGGACGACGACAACCCGAGCGTGATCAAGAAGTCCGGCTTCGAGCTGCTCGACCGGGTTGTCAACTTCTGCGCCAAGTACAACATCTACGTCATCCTCGACCTCCACGCTGTACCAGGCGGTCAGAATCAGGACTGGCACAGCGATTCCGGCATCTCAAGGGCCCTGTTCTGGGAGTTCAAGGACTTCCAAGACCGCGCCGTCCAGCTCTGGGAGGCCCTCGCCACCCATTACAAGGGCAACAAGGTTATCGCGGGCTACAACCCCCTCAACGAGCCCGCAGACCCCAAGCACACCCGCCTTATCGCTTGGTACGAGCGCGCCGAGAAGGCCATCCGCGCCATCGATCCCGACCACATCCTCTTCCTGGACGGCAACACCTACGCCATGGACTTCTCCGCCTTCGACCCAGCAAAGACCCTCCCCAATAGCGTCTACAGCTGCCACGACTACAGCCTCTACGGCTTCCCCCTGCCCGAGCAGTACGACGGCACCGACGCCCAGAAGCAGAAGCTCCGCGCCAGCCTCAAGCGCAAGGTCGAGTTCATGCAGAAGGCCGGCGTGCCCATCTGGAACGGCGAGTGGGGCCCCGTCTACCAGGACCCCGCGACGGACGCCAACGCCGCCGCGACCAACGAGAAGCGCTTCGCGCTGCTCAAGGAGCAGCTCGAGATCTACCGCGAGTTCGGCGGCATCTCGTGGAGCATCTGGCTGTACAAGGACGTCGGCTACCAGGGCATGGTCTACGTCGACCCGGAGAGCCCCTACATGCGCCTCATCCGGCCCTTCGTCGAGAAGAAGCAGCGACTCGGTCTCGACTTCTGGGGCTGCGCCGACAAGAGCGGCATCGACGACGAGGTGTACGGGCCCTTCATCGCGAAGCTGAAGTCGACGCTGCCGGAGCACCTGCACAAGAAGAAGTACCCCAAGACGTGGACGTTTGACCGCCAGGTCGAGCGCGTGGTGAGGGAGTGCTTGATGAGCGAGTACCACGGCTGGGAGTTTGCGGAGCTGTTCAAAGGGAAGACGGAGGCCGAGTTGGAGGAGCTGGCGGCGAGCTTTGCGTTGGAGAACTGCGTGAAGCGCGACCGGTTGAATGAGATTCTGACGGCGGACGCTGAGAGGGGGAACTGAGGTAAAACATGATTATGAAAGTGACGACTAAAGAGGAGAAATATGGGGCACTTGCGGGAACTTTTGCAGCGGGATTAGCATCCAAGAGAAATGTCGCATGTCGGCTGGGCCGTTGGTGGTGATTTTTCACGTTGGTGGTCTTGGCGGCCATCAGGGTTCTCGGTCTCATAACATTGCGCGTAATTCAGATTTTACAAATCTCAGCCTCAATCACCACAATCACCTCTCACTTATCTCAAAAATACAGACTTAGAAATCTTCTTGTTTCCTGTTTGAGGACGGTCGCTTCACTGGCTGTCTTGTTTTGGCCAACACGTCTCGATCGAGACTAGGACTTCACTCACCCCCACCAGCACCATGAGACTGTCTCAATCGATCGCGTGGCTGCTCACGAGCTTTGCCAGCGAAGGTCTTTGTTCAGAAATCGAGTCTCAGCTGCAAAGTGGTCTGGTCGATAAGAATGTGGCAGACGTGGCAGGAGGCGATGTCGCGCAGAGAGCAAACCTGGTCTCGGTGAGTCTGCCGCTGCAATCTCGGTGTATCTCTCAGTGGGGCACATGGAACCATACACCTAATTTCACTAACATTGAGGAAGACTCCCATTGCCTCACTCGTTGAGGTTCATGAAGTGATCGTCACCATGGAGGACGTCCCGGATAAGCCCAGGCCCCGTCATGAGCAAGAGAAGAAGAATCTCATGAAGCGCTTGAGCAAGTCTCATGGCAAATGGGACACTAATCATCCTCGTCACCGTCTGATGGAGGCGCTCTTTGGGTTCAGCCGTTACAAGGCAAGACAGATGGCGGAACTCAACCGATGGAAAGACCTGTACACCCACGTGTCGAAGGCCCAGAAGAAAGCAAGTGCCCTTCCGCCTCCACCGGCGTGTCCAACTGTTACTGACCGGTCGACTTGCGTAGGTGCTGGAAAAGACGATCGGGTACTCTAAGAAGTTCGAGACGGCTGAAACACTGCACGATCTGAATCAGGAATTATGCAACGAGATCGTCGAAGCCGCGCTTGAGTACTACGGCGTCTCACACGAGGAGCTGGCTGCACACAGTAAGGCCAAGGACGCCGCCAATCAGCTTGCCGATAGAGTCAGTGTCTCTCAGGCGTTGAAGCACTTTGTGAGAGACTGGTCTACATCGGGCCGAGGAGAGCGCGAGGACGCGTTCCCTTGCATTCTGAGCACAATGGAGTCCCTCTTCCCTGACAGGTCAGACAAAGACATGAAGGTGTTACTCCCGGGCTCCGGGATCGGCCGTTTGGGTCACGAGATTGCCTCGCTGGGCGGCATCGATGTTACCATCAATGAGTGGTCGATGTTCATGAACCTCGCTTATCGATTTCTCGAGGCGCATCCACGACCAGGTGCCAAGTCGGTTCACCCGTTCATAGACAGCTGGTCTCATCACGCGACTAATGACGATATGTTTCGCGGGGTTTCCTTCCCTGATGCGCGAGTAAACGCCAGCTCTGTACTCCTCGTTGAAGGTGACTTTGTCACACAGTTCAAGAGTCACAAAGGAGAGTACGATGCCATCATCACGCACTTTTTCATCGACACTGCAAGGAATGTCATGAGCTACTTCGACGTTATCCACGCAGCTCTCAAGCCGGGAGGTTATTGGATCAACTTTGGGCCATTGCTTTGGGGAACTGGCCCTTTCGTGCAACTGTCGTTGGATGAGATAATATCGATCGCCAAGACCATGGGCTTCGAGCTCATGAAAACAACAGGGATGTGTGGGGAGATCACGTTCGAAGGTGAGGTAGTCAGGGGTAAAAGAGCGGTATACGGGTTCAACGAGATGGCCCTGACAGAGAATGCATACTCCGCGCAATTTTGGGTAGCAAGAAAGTCGTTTTGAGGCTGGTTGTGAAAATAATAAACCCAACACAACGTTCTAACATGTTTTCTCCCTTTTCAACCTGATAGATGTATTGCACGTGTGCCTGCCATTGCTTTTATTTGAATCCTGTTCAAACCGCTTCCTTGTTGACTTGTGAATGGTAGCCATCTAGGAAAGAATCAATATGATACAGGCTTGGCAATTACTGCGATTTACCGTCAAATACAGGGCAAGGGGATCAGCCGTCAATACGATAATTTTGACTGTGGGACGTCGCACAAGGTTCCTGTTTCATTTCATGCATGTAAGCTCGTCCTCCAATTGAGCGGGAACCACATAATTATTTCTTGTGCGACCCTAACGGCCGAGACCTTCATCAAAGGCAAACTCGGATATTAGCACCAAAGGAAGCGGTAAAATTTTGATGAACATAGCCCGTAGATCACTGACGTAAAGTATGACATAACTCGTAGCCCATTGTCTTGCCATTTCTAAAGACAATTTGTCATTAAACAGATTTCAAATTTTTTTAATCTAACTTTGATGTCCTTTTTGTATGATATTCGTGATGAACAAAACAGTCTTACTTAAGGCAGTTCTCGGGCGAGTGAAAGCTCTCCATGAGCAGTGAAACCCAAGATCCGAAAACCTGAACCCAAGACAGGGTTGTTTCGTTTCCAATGTTGCTAGCAAGTCTTGCCGCCTGCAGCCTCCCAAGACACCTCGTCAACTTGTCTCTCCGCTTCTCGGAACCAGGCCTGGGCATTCAGCGTGCTTTGTCCATATGGTGATCAAAACATCAAAATGGCCGAGACATGTATCTAGGGAGCTTGAAGGCTGGGCCTGCTTCCACATATCAAGAGCCGATGACGGCTCCCCAGCTACGCGAAGCAATCTCTGACCATTCCTGGGAAGCCGCTATCAAGTGTTAAAAGTCATTGGCCATGCCCATTAAAATCTCTGGGATCTTCCAATCGCGGTATACTATTTTATACTTCGCTGGCAATCAATAATCTGGCGGTCTGACCATCGACCAATAGTAGCTCGCTTGAAGATTACAGGGCTTTGCATACAACTAGGCGCAGAAACGGCACACCAGGGCTGATCGGAACACAACAAAACACTACTCAAAATCCAAAAATACCTTTGGGAATACCCTCATTTCGGCATTCAAGCAACAGGCGCTTTTCGGGGGGTTTTTATGTGATGCCGCCTGGGATGAAGTCACGGGATCACGGAGCCAGGGGCCCAGTTACATTGCTCCGAGGCGCGGCACAGCCACTGGTTGTGGCGCCGCAGTTCTGTTCACGTGACGAACAGGCGAAGCAAGGAGGAGGGGTTTGTGGTAATCATGCCATCAGGAATGATGACATGGCATCACAACAAGCGGACAACATACACAACCAGTACAAGGTTCGCATTTTGGAAACGCAAAGGCTCCCACGGCAATTAGGCGGCGGCAAAACGTTATTATTGACGGAAACGTCTGCTTCCGTGGCGAACCACACCTTCTGCCGCCGGCTCGGGGAACGCCGCATTTGCGTCTCGCAGCGCCCGCCCCAGCCTGAGGGATCGCGGTTTCTCTCACCCGACCGATTAGTTACCCCTGACTGCATCGGATGCTCTGATCCTAAGCCACTACACCAGACCATCTCGTCCGATTTCATGTGGCTCGCCGGGGCTGGGATTGGCCAAAGTCTCAGCCCCAAATGCCCTAGGACAGAAGACCCATTGGTGTTTGGCCCCCGGGAGCACATTGATAACTTTGATGCTGGATACCATGAGATCGCTCCAAAGAGAAAACAAGTATACATCTGGCAATGCGTTCGTCACAGACTCAATCAACCGATACTTCCAAAACTAACGTGAGAATAGTGTCAATGTGGGCAAGGCTCAAACCCCATCAGATACGACGGTTGTCGCAACTGCGGAATTCCTCGCTGCGCCTATTGTCCTGTCACTAAAGTGAGAGTGTGACCTTGAGAGTGTACAACCAGCTTAGCCGCATGCGACGTGGTTGCCAATGAAGCCAAGAACAACTGGTCGAGTGAAGCACCAATGACAGTACACTACGTGCTGCCACAAGGCGTCAGATTTCCTCAACAGCTTACTGCCTGGGGTGCCTATAAATGGTTTGATCTTGGACGTTGATATCTGTCTTCTGGCCTGTTCATGATGTCAACGAATCTCGCTCTCCTCTGCAACAATATCGACTCGAGTCGCGGAGGCGGACTGAGATGTCTCGAGGCCATTCAGTATTTTTTTCAAGCTTGAGTGCACTAAGGGTTTACAAAAACATCGTTTCTTTTGTTGTCTACAGGAAAAGTCGGAGATTGTTGACTCGCCCATAATATGGTAGTCGAGCGACGGGTAGATGTACCTTGATTTCATGCCGGGGGCAGCACTTCAGGGATTCTTTCTTTTGTTGATGTTTTGAAAAGTCTTTCCCACAAAAGTACGTGTTGTACATAGATGGAGGATGTGGGCTATCTGGATTGTGTGGTATAATTTTGGATCATATGTTCAGCACAGGTAGGACATCAACCGCCTGTTGGCTATGCTAACAACTGACCAGGGTTTCATTCACCGTATAATGAAACCTGGCAAATGATGACTCGGGATGATTACTCGAGAGAATCTGACGCCTTTGTCGGAAAGGGCAGATTGGGTTAATATATGAGAAAATTGCAGTTGATTATCGTGCTACTTTATCAATCCTGTGAGGCAGATGTCTTAAAGTTGCCGTGATGGTGGGACCGCGACCCGGCTGAACCCGATCCACCATTAATCCCCTCTGGGCTGGGGTTGGATGCGTACCAAAATCGGCTCCGAGCCTCGGCTTCAGACCCTGTACTGCCGTCCTCCTTTTGTGCTACGGATAAATTCTGCGAACATGCCATCCAATGGCACCGTGAGGCTGACATCTCAGACGTGGCATCCACCTCTTCGAAGACTTCCATAATGCGCTGTCTTACATCACAGAATTGGCCGCTCAACCACTAAGATGGACCAACCAGTGCATGCACCCACAGCTAACCTATCTGTCATTGGACGTGCCAAGTCTGATGCCGCAGACCTGCTTGAATGCGACAGCACATGATTTGCACTTTCGGTGAGTGAGGGTATTGGTTTTATCTTCCTCTCAGAATCTAGAGGGCACAACCGTGCCCCCCTCGTGGTGAAAGACCCTCCTCCATCGGCTATCGCGTCATGGGTCTCCGCCCTGAATATCTTTGGCGGGACAACCTTCCCCATTAAGGCAAATCTATGTTCAGTTGCTGCCTAAAACCTCCAATTCAACATCGCATCTTTTCGAGGCTGCAAATGCGGCATGAGTCAAGGAGAGCACCCACGAGAGGTTCGATTGAAATGGCCAGGGTAATCGAGACTCGATTTGGTGGACGAGTTAGTATCCGAGGTGTGTCTGGTGTCGGTTTTCTGGGTACTTATTGGCGTCATTGCCTCGGGTTGCCTTGCGTTGTGGTTGGATCGATCGGTCGCCCCTTTGACGAGCGGTCAGCATACCGAAAGTTGCCAGCACTCGTTTTGATCATACGGGCAGCCTGCAGCGTACTTATACCGATGAGCAGCTGACTCTGAGGCCTCCGACCAAGCCAACGTATGAATGCCCATTTCGGCCTGATGGCAGGTTCTGCGCTCATTACCGCACAGATGAACACTTCCTCCCAACGCAGCTATCGCCGTGCCCAACGTATGGCATGGGGCGGTCGGAACGAGCAGTGCCAGAGATAGTTGCCCGCACCAGGTTCAACCCAAAAACCCAATCATGTACTGTCCGCCTCTCTTTTGCAATGACACAGACTTCAGTCGTCGGCCCAATCGATTCGACATGCACACTCCAGCGTAAACGCAATGCTACGTGTCAAAAACAGTCATGCTTCAAAGCTGCATCGCAGCTTCTTATGATGCAAGGAACTTCTATATTAGGCCTTGCCAGCCTGTGAAGCTGCCCGCCAACTCATCATGATCTTAGTTCTCCAAATGATAACTGATCAACCCTGCATCTTCATTGCTTGGGTCAACATGATACTATCGAGATGTCTTCCTCCTTCTCACGGCGTCGTCCGCGTCGTATCAATTGGAAACGACCTGTGACCACTAGAACCTCGGATATCTCATGGGTCGACGATATTGTCGACGCATTGAGCGATGTTACGTCGGAAAGGACTGCCCATAGTTTACTCAATTTGTTTTTGGATGCTCCCGACAAGCCCCCGCGCCTTGGGTACGAAAAGTCCACATTTGGCCGACTATTTGGACCTCAATTTCTGGAGCACCTCCGCGAAGCGAAACTGGGCCTCTCAAAAGGCGAATCTGTCTGGCTTCATGACGTGAACCACGACAACGTGGCTCGACCTTACAGTGGGCGAATGTCAATCGAAAAGTTCGGCGAGGTCACATTGCTAAATGTAGGCATCCCGTATTTTTCTGTCTACGCGGTAACTCGCGTCGGCTACAAAAGGTTTGAGTAATACTGACAAATCGATTTCTCTAGCGCGCCGACGTCAAAGGAATGGTCGACGCCGTCCGTCGAAGGATGTAAGTCAATCACAAATATCCGATACTACCTGACTCTGTCCTCTGTTAACATCCATTTTCGAAGTCATTTGCAAAACCCCTGTCGAGATTCTCTTGGTGTTTTGACCTTGAGGGCTTCGACAGAACAAAAACCAGTTGTCCGCGATTTCATTCGCAAGCATCTCGATGGTGATGCCGCCATTGGCATCAGAGAGACGGTAGGTATGGTGTTGGTGTCGTATACCAGATAAAGGCTATCGGGTGACTGACATATTGTTGCTCACAGACGGCCGGGGCTTACATCTTGGAGTTTCATCTGCCGTGCCCGGTATGGCTCCGAGGGAAGAAAGCAAGGAAAGACCCCCGGCAGACATCTGACGGAACCCCACTCCGAGACTCACTCAACCTGTCATTTCTTTCCGCGACAAAGGCCTTAAAGCCTCCCTTGACAGAGACTGACTTTTTGTATGAGTCTCAAA